AAATTTCTAATATTTTTAAAAACATTATTCTTGTTGATTTAGCATTTCTTTACTTATTTAATTGGATTACATTTCTTGAGTCATAAGTTTTCATCAATGTTACTGAGTAGGAAGAAAATTGTTTGTTACGGGGGAAGAAAAACTGAACAAAACAAAGTGAAAGACTCAAGTGATGCATAAAATGACTGAAAGAAATCTGTGCTAATTAAAAAGGTTAAGTTTTCTTTTTAGATTAAAAAAAAATGAATGAAGAAATAAAAAAAACAAAAATAATAAAACCAAAGGTGTTTTTACATATTTTTTATTTTTATTTTCAATCTTCTTGATTGTCATTCATTCTGATTCATCCTCTACGCACACATGCACACACTTCTACTCATTTTGTCACTAATACTGACATCATTCTAAATTGTATGTACCAGTTTTAAATGATCTAATATATACAAAGTGCACACTGTGTGCTGGAGAGAAACAAAAGCTTGACACCTTCCACATGCACTGCCTCTGATACATCTTGAGCATTTGGCATGTGTGAATGGGTGACAGTCAAATATCCAGGGATCTCCTGTGCAGAGAACTGACTCAAGAAAAGTGCCTTGTATGCAAACACCAACTATGCTACAAAATTGTCTCTAAAAGAAACTCGTGGCATTAACCCAGATACATGTGATGCTGTAACCTTTGAATGATCTTCTTGGAGACGGTGCAGAAGTGCTTCTTCAATTTGGAGACACATTTGCCCAATAGTCAGATGAAAAGGTAAACCCAGAGTCGGACAAACAAATCAGCATCAAGCATTGTCTGCACAAAGCGTGGGAGGGACTGCACATTTATTAACCAGAAACTCCCAGAAATAGTAAAAATTAAAATTACAGAACATGAGAAAAGTTTACAATTGTTTTACACACACACACAATTAACTGACCTTCTCACTTTTCAAGGCAGGATGTGACACAAGATTGTTTTTTATGTGAGGTGCACATATACATGGATATATATCAACCAAGGAAAAAATTCCCCAGTCTCTGTGACCACTGTTAAGCTGGCCTTTGTATTACAATAACCTCACTTCTCTTAGTGCAATGAGGAAGGTGCTGCCACAGGATTGGGATCCCCAGGACTGGGCACCTTTTCCCACTTCAAATAAGGAGAAAAGAGATACTATGCTTTGATCCTAGCCAAAAGGCTGAGAACAAAAGGATCTGGAAACTGTGTTATTGTAACAAAGTTATAAAGGAAACATAAATGTGAAATGTATTCTCCATGTTCTAAAACGAGTTTTTGATGTTTTTCATCTGTTGATTTAGTGAACTGTTGTATTTCTACATATAAAATGGACTGAATAGTATCCAGAATAGCATTCCAAATTTCCTCTTTGCTAGTAAATTGATCTTCATCACTGTAAAGCTTCCTCTTCAGAATGTATCACAACTTTTCAAACAGGTTAAAGTCGAGCGAACAAGGACATTTCATCATACAAGTATTTTCGATAAACCATTTTATTCAAATATTCATTAGTTTTCATTGCTGAATGTAAGAGCATTGTCCTGCATAGAAATAATCTTTATGAAAGTGTTAAGCTTCTTCAACCATAGCTCTACATATAGCTTAAAAAAACTGTCATTTTAGCCCCACCTGAAACTTGTCATGGACCGATCACTTGATCCTTTCATATCCCACCCTAAAACATACTGCCTCAATTTTTTATAACTTCTCTTTTCATACAAGGCAAAGATCGATGATATAAAGTTCTCAATCAAATTTCTTCACTGCTGGGTGGTACTTGTTGAGAACTTTTGCAATTTCTTACCTTTTGCAATCATTGGAGATTTTAAATAGTTCTTCCTCTGTCAAATCAACCTTATGGTTCATTTTAAAGCTTTAAACTCAAAATTTGGGTATTAATTTGATATATTTTAAGACAGTTTGGTGCAGAAGACTGCTATTTGTTTACATCTGAACAAAGTGAACAGACTTTCGTCCTAAATTTGCAGATGTTGCCATCATTCATGAAATTAACCTTTTTAGATTCCAATAAACATTTTATTGATGCAGCATGACACACACACACACACACACTGTGTAAACATTAATAAAGGTTGTGTTTCACAAAAAACAAATCTAGTTAAACTGATTATTTCTAGAAGGTAATGTTTTTGAAGACAAGCAGTTCTTGTAATTATTGTGTTTGATATCAATATCATTAATAGCAATAAATAAAATTAAATGTTTACTTATTTTGTCTCTACTCTGAGTTTTGCAGAGATTACATCCACTCCTCCAGGAAGTTGATTGTAAAAGTGAATACAATTTCAGAAATAAGGTCACATGGAGATAAATTCAATTTCCAATCAAGCCTCATAGCAAGTTGATTTAATCTCCATTAAACCCACAGTAAATGCAAATGAACATTTATAATATATATATATTATATATATATATATATATATATATATATATATATTATTTGAGCAATATATCATGTAACTTTCAGCTTATATGTAAGTGTTACTTTTTATTATACAAAATGCAATAAAATTGTTTGAGTAAATCCAAAAGATATAGGTATTTACCAGTGCCCCTACATATAACCATATGTAACATAAGGTTGTGGGTTTATCAGCAATAAACTCAGCCCCCCCCCCCAAGGGAGAGGTAGGCCATAGAAACATTGATTAAAACAATATTACATAGACTATTATTTTACATGTTAATATGAGTTTATTGACTTGCCTGTTGTTTTTTTTTATCTATTGATTTTGTTAACTTTCCTTTTATTTCGACTGTATCATTACTTACAGCAATTTTTATTAATTCATATATGTCTATGCTTGAATATTGTTTTCCATTCTTGAATATATCTCTTTTAAAGATAGAACACAACTTTTCTATTGGATTGATATCCAAAGAGACTGATGGGACATTGTATTAACTTGATGTCCTTGAAACCATTTACCAAGGTAACAAACATCCATCATTGCAGAATATGAAGTAACATTGTTTCCAATGAATATAATCTTTAGCTTAAAGCTTTTTGGCTGTAAACTATAGTACTCAAGAAATGTCTTGGAACTTAACAGTAATACTCTGCATTTATCTTTAGACCATTATCAACTTTGAAGAGACCTGCAATTTCACTACATATAATACCAAGTCAAAAATCTTTCTAGCTTTCAAGTAATGGTAGATAAGTATTTTCATGAAGGATAAACCTCTCTAAACTGACTTCCAATTTCCTCCAAATAAGCTCTAAGTTTGTGTAAAAAAAAAAAATGCTGTTGAGAAATTTGTTTTCATGTACTGCTTCACCTATTTTTTTTTCTCTTTGCGATGTTTACTTAAAGTTGGTAGTTAGCAGAATTCGCTTAACCTAAACATTTTTATAATCCCATTTTCCTTTTGACAGAAAACGAAACCTCCGAAATATTCATACTTATTTTTCAGTTTTTAAAATACTTTTTTCTTTTCTTCCTAAGAATTTTTTTTACTTATTTTGTGCATCTCTTCACTAGATGTCTCTGCTTGTCATCATTGTATACAAAATGACTGTTCATTCTTTAAAGCTGCAACACCTTTCTCAAGTGTTCTCATCACTTTCAATACCATTCTCCATTTCTTATGTGCATTACTTTTATTTTGATGTTTTATAACTTTTGATGCTCCCAGGTGAGATCCCTATATTTATATCTCTACTAATTTTACTTCATCCTGTGGTCACCTAGGATGTTTACAGGAAGTTTTGGCAATTTAATTTTTTTTTATACTTTAATTCCTGGCTGATTTATTTTAATCTCAAAAGCAATACTACCTTTCTAAGTTTCAAAAAACAGATTCTGGTTTATGCTCGCATCATTTGTTTGCATGGTCAAACCAAAGTCGTTTGCACAATTCTCAGTTAATCATTGTTTCCTACTCAGTCAAGTATTCTTTTTAATTTTTATAATTTCTTCCTTGTAACAATAATTGCTGTTTTTTTTTATTAATTGTCATCTTGATTTAAGAAAACATTTTAAGGATCATCTCTTTGTTTATATATGTTTATTGTTGATATTTTTATTTCACTATTTCGTAATTTTATCATTTTCTTATCAATTTTTTTTTTTTAACTATTTACTGCGATTGCGTTTCTGTTATTTGACTCCACTCTTTCCTTTTAATCATTATTTTCACCATCTTTCTCCCCAACCCTGCTTCCTTTATATTTTTTTTAACGACCACTGCTTACCTAAAAGTTGCTCAGTTATGGCTGGATTGTTCGCTTCCACCCTTCTGCACTCCTTCATTTCTTTTTTTTTTTTTTTTTTTCTTAACAACTTTATTCAGTGTCAACATAATCCTTATTCTTTGTGCCCTATTGGTTTCTTCTAACTTCCCACCCTAACTAATTCAAGCTTCAATCCAAACCTCGCTAAGTAGGGGGTCTGCCTGTCCCTAGCAGCAGTAGGTAGAACAAGAACAAAAGGTAGTTATTTCACCTTCTTCAATCTGAAACTAAGCCTAAATAAGACAAAAGCGGCCTTGGGCTTCAGTTGAGATCCCTCCTTTTTTTTTTTCCTTTTTTAAATGTGGGGCAAAGGGAAGCAAAAATAAAAGGTACATGAAATAAGAATCTGTTTTGAGCCAACTTCCTGCTTGTCACCCACCTTCTTTTTATTTTAATTTAAAAGAAAAAAATATTTCCAATTATTTTTACACATTGACCTTCTTTCTACTTCCTTTTTTGTACTGCCTTTGTGATTTTTGAAGTTCTAGACACACTATATCAACCCTGAATCCATCATGGAACAGCTGTTACCAACCATATGTCAGCCTCCTTCTGCTACGAGGTGGTGTCCCTGGACTTTCACTCCCCACATCACTCAGTTCACCCTGATAAAGAAGTTCTTCTTCCTTGTGAAAAATAAGGAAGTACATTCATCCACTCATTCATTTGTCCATTTCTTGTATCCATCATTGTTACTGCTTATTAATTAGCTTATTACTGGAATTTAAAAACTTCAATGTTTTCTCATCTACTTACTAACAAATTGATCAACTTTTCATTTTCCTTCCTTCCCTCCCTCTCTTTCTTTCCTTCCTTCCCTCCTCTCTTTCTTTCCTCCTCTCCTTTCCTCCCTCTCTTTCTTTCCTCCCCCTCTTCCCTTTCCTCTCTCTTTCTTTCCTCCCTCTCTTTCTTTCCTCCCTCTCTTTCTTTCCTCCCTCTCTTTCTTTCCTCCCTCTCTTTCTTTCCTCCCTCTCTTTCTTTCCTCCCTCTCTTTCTTTCCTCCCCCTTTCCCTCCCTCTTTCTTTCCTCCCTTCTTCCCTCCCTCTCTTTCTTTCCTCCTTCCTCCCTCCTCCCTCTCTTTCTTTCCTCCCTCTCTTTCCTCCCTCCCTCCCTCTCTTTCTTTCCTCCCCTCCCCCTCTCTTTCTTTCCTCCCTTCCTCCCTCTCTTTCCTTTCCTCCCTCCCTCTCTTTCTTTTCCCTTCCCTCCCTCCTCCCTCCCTTCCCTCTTTCTTTCTTTCCTCCCTTCCCTCCCTCTTTCTTTCCTCCTTTCCTCCCTTTTCTTTCCTTTTCCTCCCTCTCTTTCTTGCATTTTCTCTTCATTTGGTCTCATTTCTTATCACCATGTCTCATTGTCTTCCTTCGCCTGATGTATTTCCTACCACCACTATTTCTTCTACATAAACATCTTTTTTCATTGTTCCCTTCCTTCTACTCATTTTTCTTTCCTTTCATCTTAATCCATTTTTCTTTTTCCTATGATTACTATACCTTTCTTTATCTCTTCATTCCTCCCTGCCTCTTTCTACTATTTAATAACTGTTCCACATCTCCCTTCACTTCCTCCTTGATTTTTAAGTAGCAAGGCCGTGACAGTTGTATAGATGAGGATGCTTCAGTTAACGGATTGGCAAAATCTTATGAAGGGATAAAAGTTGTATAGGCAAGCTAATTCACCTAGGGCTTGAAGAAGAAAATCACAGTAAGGGAGGCCCTTATGCCGTATGTATGCAGGTCATACATGTGGGTCACACAATGCAGGGGTTAGGTTGACAAAGAAATTATGTGCACTGATGATATCACTGGAATACTTTGAAGAAAATGATGAGTAAAAAAAAAAAAAAAGGAAAGGCACAAAACTAACAAATTTCCAATGTTGAAATTGTTTAATTTGGATACATTTTTTTTTCATTTTCTACATATTCCATTAGTAAGGAGAAAGTTCCACTCAGACAGCTTCATCCTTAGAACTACTCCTTTCTGGAATAAACTCTCAAAAAGATGATTTCCCAGTCACTACAATCTTAACAAATGACCCTAAATTTGTTATCTATCCTATATATATATATATATATATATATATATATATATATATATATATATATATATTCTTATAATCTACATGTACTTCCTCTTGAGTTTGAGTGGCTTTTTAGGTCTTGTATTAGTAGAATTTTTTTTTTTTTTTTTTTTTTTTTAAATTTAAAAATTATAAAACCAGAAGGGAAAAACATGTTTGTAGCTAATTAATATTTAGTTTAACAATTGTTAATCATATTTTGGAATTTGTGTGTTAGGTGTTAGCTAAAAATTTTGGATTTGAACTGATGGATCAATCTGTTCACATGTCAAGTTACTAAATGTTTCACTTATCTTTATAGATTTTTCACATATATCTCAAAATCACTCCACCATGAAATAGTTTTTTATTCATTCTTTGAAGAAGTTACTTGACACTTTCATTTCACCAAAGTTTTATGAAGCATATTGTGTCTGCTTCTTCTACATCTTCTTGATCTATAATATATTATTTTAGAAATGCTTTCACTAATAACTGGACAAAGACAATTTTTTTTTTTTTTTTTTTTTTTTTAATTGTAATCAGTTTTTAATCAATTTTCCTCTACCCTTCCAAAATAGTTTGTTAGTGACTAAACATAAGTGGGGAATTTCTTTAATGTCTGTTGTTTTTTTTTGGGGGGGTGTTTTTTTTTTTTTTTGTTTTTTTTTCTTAAAAAAAAAAAAAAACTAATTAGTAGTAAACAATACTGGTTGTGAGTGAATGGGAGTAATGGTAAAGACAATGGGCAGCAATAAAAACAAGCAAACTTCAAATGCAGCCATCATGAAAATAAAACCATAATTATTGATAGCACAACTGCCAGCATTTGCTTTCTCACTCTATATGAAATTCTAGTGATTTAAAATTTTTATGTATTTGCTTAATTTATACTATCATAAGATATATATATATATATGTGTGTGTGTGTGTGTGTATAATAAAAATATAGTTTTAAGGTACACTATATTTATGGGTTAAAGTGCTCAATATCAGAGCATATATAAATATAAAAGTGCTCACTGAGGTCAACAAAAAGATAAAAGAAAAACTTTTACCAATGTGTTTTGTCCTCTAATGGTCTTTATCAATGTAATTCATAGGATGAAATGTGTTGGTAAAGATAAATTTTCCTTTTGTCTTTTCATATTTTTGTTTTATAGATATGATGATTTACGAGGGTAATATATATTGTGACATCAATCAGCTTCGAATGTCCTCCATCAATCAGATCAAATGATCTGGATGGTTGAAGTGCCTTTTGTCTAGGAAGCAATCAGTTCAAGGATGCAAAATGAAAATCTCTAATAGTTACCATGGAAGACAATAGTTTGAATTACTTGAGCGGTAACTGCTGATTAACCATAGAAGGCAGATATGTAATTAAGTTGCCCAGGTGAGGTTGGTTTCCATGGCAATAGTATTAGGGTTATGAGGTTTAAATTAAGGAACTTAAACAATGATGGGGTTATGGCCATCATTATGATAATTCTTTTCATCACCTATCATTCTGTTTGTTTCTTCTTACTCCATTTTCTCTTTTCCATGCTCTTTTGTCTCCCACCTTCCCTAATCTCTTGCTCTTATCTCTCTCTCTCTTTCTTTCCTCTGTATCCCAGGCACTTTTCTTCATACACGTCTTTCCCCCTCTCTCTCTCTCTGTACACGTCTCTCTCTCTCTTTCTCTCTGTACACGTCTCTCTCTCTCTTTCTCTCTGTACACGTCTCTCTCTCTCTCTTTCTCTCTGTACACGTCTTTCCCTCTCTCTCTCTCTGTACACGTCTTTCCCTCTCTCTCTCTCTGTACACGTCTTTCCCTCTCTCTCTCTCTGTACGTCTTTCCCTCTCTCTCTCTGTACACGTCTTTCCCTCTCTCTCTCTGTACACGTCTTTCCCTCTCTCTCTCTGTACACGTCTTTCCCCTCTCTCTCTCTCTCTGTACGTCTTTCCTCTCTCTCTCTCTCTCTGTACACATCTTTCCCTCTCTCTCTCTCTCTCTCTCTGTACCGTCTTTCCCTCTCTCTCTCTGTACACGTCTTTTCCCTCTCTCTCTCTCTCTGTACACGTCTTTCCCCTCTCTCTCTCTGTACACATCTTCCCCTCTCTCTCTCTCTGTACGTCTTTCCCCCTCTCTCTCTCTCTGTACACGTCTTTCCCTCTCTCTCTCTGTACACGTCTTTCCCCTCTCTCTCTCTCTGTACACGTCTTTCCCTCTCTCTCTCTCTCTGTACACGTCTTTCCCTCTCTCTCTCTCTGTACACGTCTTTCCCCTCTCTCTCTCTCTGTCTCTTTCCCTCTCTCTCTCTGTACACGTCTTTCCCTCTCTCTTTCTCTCTCCGTACACGTCTTTCCCTCTCTCTTTCTCTCTCCGTACACGTCTTTCCCTCTCTCTTTCTCTCTCCGTACACGTCTTTCCCTCTCTCTTTCTCTCTACACATTTTTTCTTTCTTCTTTTTCTCTCACCTGCTTCTCTCTACATTTTTTTTCTCTCTTTTCTCTCCGTACACGTCTTTCCCTACACATTTTTCTTCTTCTTTTTTCTCTCTCTCTTTTCTCTCTACACATTTTTTTCTCTTTTTTTTTCTCTCTTTCTCTCTCCGTACACGTCTTTCCCTCTCTTTTCTCTACGTTTTTTCCCTTTTTCTTCTTTCCCTTTCTTTCTCTCACCTGCTTTCTCTACACATTTTTTTTCTTCTTTTTTTCTCTCACCTGCTTTCTCTACACATTTTTTTTCTTCTTTTTTTCTCTCACCTGCTTTCTCTACACATTTTTTTTCTTCTTTTTTTCTCTCACCTGCTTTCTCTACACATTTTTTTTCTTTTTTTCTCTCACCTGCTTTCTCTACACATTTTTTTTCTTCTTTTTTTCTCTCAAAAGAGAAATGTGAATAATGAAAAGCTTTTAATCATTTTTTTAAAGCTCCTGTTCGTGGTGGTAATTAGAAATATACTTATTTATTTTTTTTTTTTTTTGGTAGGGAAGGTTTTTGTTTTTATTCCTTTTGTGAAGGATTTTGTCTGCATAGTAAAATGAAACATTAGTGATTTTATTCATATCTATCTTTTCTTTTTTTTTTTTTTTTTAAATAAACCGTTTTGATTCTCTTTCAGAAAGTTTTGCAGTTGTGTTGTCAGAATCTTTTAGAGTTTAGTTATGACTGACTTCATTTCCAGTTTTAAGATAAAATTGTTTAATAAAAATCCAATAAATGAGTTAATTCTTTTTCTTGGCCCCAAGAAATTCTCAATGAATGTGTAAATTATAATTTGCTAACCCCAAAATGATAATGGCCGACCTAATGGATACAGTTGGAATAAGGACATCAGGGAACTTCAGACAACAACATGTGTATGACAATAAGAATGTTCTTAGAAATTATCCTAGAAAAGTACACAATTAAACTCCATGAAATGCTGACCGATTCTAACCATTAAAAGTCCAGATGTTAACAATTAAGATTATGATTTCTCATACTTCTACTCTTCTTTCACCTTTTTGCTTATATCTTCTCATTTTTTCCTTTTGATTTTCATTACCCCTCTATGTCCTTATCTAAATATTATACAAACATAGATTAGGTTCAGATGTGGAAATAAAATAAGGAATACAGAAATATCTCTAATGCATCCATACATCTTTTTTTTTTTGCTCTGTCTACAAAATTTTCCTTCGTTTTCCACTCTTTTGTCCATTTCCATTATATCCAGCCAGCAAGCTTGCATAACTTTTGTCTCCATCCTTTCCTCTCTTTTTATATATATATATATATATATATATACGCACACACATTCTATATATGTGCACATACATACATGTACAGGTGTACACAAAGAAAAAAATGATCAACCTAACACTAATAAAAGTGCTTAAATTATTTTTTAACTTAATATAAAAATAAGGAAAATGAGAATCTCCACACAATTGCTGATACCTCCTCACTAATGGGCTGAATGATTAAAAAAGGTTGATCTACGAAACTCTGATCTACAACAATCAGCGAAGTGAGAATTTTTATATTAATTATGTATGTGATATATATATATATACTAGCCGCGGTACCCGGCTGCAATTATATAACCGCACCCGTCTAGAAATGTTTGCCTACGTCCCCGCTTGCATGCATCATCCGTTGGTATACTAAACTACTCCCACCTCATCTTTTTTACAGTATGTCCTTCGCAAGTGTTTGATTGTTGTTAATAAAGGAATTCCATCGATAAACCTTGTTTCCTACGGCCGTAATAACTTTCGAATAGTATGGTATTGTTCACAGATCTAATAATCAAATAAAAACAAGAATGAAGCGTCAGAGCTTGAATCAAGTGCAAACACATGAACTCCTCTTCCTTCTTAGCACGTTTACTGTAAAGCTGGGGTTAAAAAGAGTTTCTTCAGAAATTTTCCTCTTTTAACGCTTCAATAATCCTTCACAAACACCTTTTGCATCAAAAGTTGTTCGAATGCCAGTTTAGGATGGAATCATATGAAGAAACTCTTGGCTAAATGGCAAAAGCCGATTTCGGACCTAATTTGTTGCAGATTTCGTCCACTTAACTGAAATGATATAAACCAAACATTCACGCAAGACAATTTGTGTGTCATATGTAATTTACATGGTAGATTTGGAAAGCATCGGATGAAAAACCAGTTGAGTTATGGCCAAAAACGGGCTTTTGAACAGTTTTTCGTTGTTTTTCGTTATACGTGGGGAAGCAATGACTAAAACCACACTTATTTCTTACATGATGGCAATTTTTTTGCAACATGCTTGAAGAAAATCGTATTAAAAAAAACGAGGAAGTTTTTATTTTAAGTAGTACGAAAAACCCGATTTTTTTCCAGTTTTTTTTTCTTTTGCAATTTTTTTGTGCAAATCCAATGTCACAAGAATACTATCAAGCCCTTTACATAAACATGAGCTATGTTTTGCAATAAGTGCAAAACATCAGCTCATCTAGTAAAAATTTTGTTCGCGTATAACTTTGCCAAGATTTTTGCAAAAAGTCGTACCCACCTTCAGTTTTATCAATTTTTTTGCCAAAACCCAGTGGGGCTGGAGATTGAAAAGTTGATCTTGATCTATCTTTATAAATTTGTAATATGTGTGTATAACTTCATTGAAATCTATCGAGAAATGTAGACGTGCATAAATAGCATACTCACACACAGACATCTTCTGTTTTATTTTTACACACACACACACGTGAACCTGACTATGGTTGATTTGTCAGGAAGATGACCTTAATGTTATCGACCTGGGCAGGCAATCCTAGAATGTGACGCCGTTGGGAAGTGCCTGAAAACCATATCACAGGTTGACCCAAGCTTTGAGTGAAATTCATTAGACTAAACTGTTCAGAAACCGTCGATGGTTGGAAATAACAAATCATTGTGACTGATGGTTTTAGTGCACTGGCCTTGTTCAAACTGTACATCACGCCAGAGTATGTGCTCTCTCCCAGAACTGTAACTAAGGTCCGATCAGAATAGTTGCAGTCTACACTACAGGTGGGCTCTCTGGGTGTTGAACAAACACGTGTGCTTCAGCGGAAGTCCGCAGAACGGTTTGGCTAGCCGGTCATTATATATTCGTTTCAAATGGTTTTATTTGCACTGTTTTACTCCTTTCTTTCTCTCACCTTCTCTTGCTATTTCTCATCGCTTAATATTTTATAAGTTTCTCGGTCAGAAATCATAACTAATTCCATCTCAAAAGTACCGGGGATCCGGCAAATATTACTCTGCTTCGATGTAAAAGAACGTAACAGTTTTTTTCATACAAATGAGCAGAATATAACAAGCTTAATACGGTATAATAGGAAATGACAGTCGAAAGATTATTTTCTGTCCTATGTCTAGGCTCGAATAGCGACTACTGGGAAGTACGCAATGATTTAACACATCAGTTAAGCCAAGTTTTTTCTTTTTTTTTCTTATAGCAAACATAAACTTTCAACTTAATCCATCCAGCACTTATATATATTAAATATAGATAAGACAATTTGACAAAAATTCTACTTGTCTTAAAATACATTAAATTGAATTTAATGTATTTCGATAGATGCTGTTAGTATTAATTACAGTGTAACCCGGATATAAGAGAGTTGTCGGGACCGGAGAAGAAGTCTCTTATATCCGGGTTTGGTCTATTTTATATACATTAACACAGGCTCTAATTTGGGACCAGAGAAAATCTCGCTTATATCCGGGTTACACTGTATTATATATAATTTAAGCGTACATTTTGCTTTGCTTTGAATCCCCCCCTTTTTCAAAGAAAATCATTTGTTCATTGTATTACGGTAATTAAATGTTTTCAACAGTTAAATAAGACTGATCCTCGTTCCTTTTAGGATCTGAGTGGATAATTAACTTTTCAAATAATCTGTAAGCTTAATATTACCTTATTACTCAAACCCTCTCTTTAACCATGAGGAATAGTTCACTGGCAAATGATTATCGACTGTTTTATTTCATTTGCCAAGTGCATAAATAATCCACAACAATGTTACTTTTTCTTTGGCTTTCAACAAAAAAATTACAAGAGACTTCCTAAGCTGTGTGCGTCTTGCACAAATCATTAACTCCTTATGAAGATTCGTTGATAAATCTTGAATTATTGTCAAGTATAATGATAAAGAAATGGAATTTCTCTTTGTCTCTATTTTAATCAAACGAAGAAGAAAAAAAGTCACTAAAATAAAATGTTGGCAATAATTGATGTAGGATGTTAGGTGGATGTATAGACAGGAAGAAAGCAATTTTATCTCGGCTTATTTTTATTTGTTCTGTAAATAAAATGGAGGTTGTTGATAAAAAATTTTGAATGAATGTATTATGAATTACAGTGTAACCCGGATATAAGAGAGTTGTCGGGACCGGAGAAGAAGTCTCTTATATCCGGGTTTGGTCTATTTTATATACATTAACACAGGCTCTAATTTGGGACCAGAGAAAATCTCTTAGATCCGGGTTTCTCTTATATCCGGGTTTGGTCTATTTTATATACATTAACACAGGCTCTAATTTGGGACCAGAGAAAATCTCTCTTAGATCCGGGTTTCTCTTATATCCGGGTTTGGTCTATTTTATATACATTAACACAGGCTCTAATTTGGGACCAGAGAAAATCTCTCTTATATCCGGGTTTCTCTTATATCCGGGTTACACTGTACCTGATCCGCTGTTCATATTTTTTTTCGTTTCTTTGACATTTGGTTTCATTTATTTTGAAAAATCAGAATTATATTTACCTGCCTATATACAAACATTAGAATATCATAAGTATCTATTTTTCGTGAATCTAACTTGTTGCATCCGTAAATATAAATTATCGTAAAAATCAAATAAATAAAAAATTTTAAAAAATAATGTATACATACCTACCCACACGTCAAGTGTATTTGTAAAAAAAAAGTGTTTGTCTGTAATGTGTATTTTGCGCTACTTCTTGCACATCAATTGACGGCGTCGGGCTGTACGAAGATAACTTAATAATCAGAGGGAGGAAAGACCAGTTGCGTTCAAAAGCAAGACACCACCACCACCATCATCATATGTCTGTATGTCTGTATGTCTGTATGTCTGTATGTATGTATGTCTGTATGTCTGTATGTATGTATGTCTGTATGTATGTATGTATGTACATTTTCTCTAATAAGATATCTGTAATATTCAGGCCGATAGACGAAAATAAATAAATTATACTTTTTAATAAATAAACGGAGCATCTACTCAATTACGAGTGTCCATTAAAAATAACGTTTAATAAAAAATCTCTCAGATTAACAGATAAAAAAAAAAAAACATCCCTTTCTTTAGAAATTGCTTTGTTTGCGTTAGGATGCGAAACTGGGCAGATATGTCTATTTCGAGAGTCAAAGGGAAATCTGTGTTTAAAGGCACTATTCAACTTTGCTTGGCCACCGATGCACTCCGTAGCTGAGAGGTCCAAAGCACGTCAGATACATATAATGATGACTGCCCTACCGACGTTGTTGAGTATGATCATCACAAAATATTCAGTTGTGACTTACGATATCAAGAGATGTCGATGCATGATATTTCTCACCTGGAGGACGGTGTTGCATTGCGGTAATCTTACACTCTTAGCAAAAACAGCATGTACCCAAAAATAACTAGTCACCATTATTGGATAATGTGAAGCCGCTGGTATTACATCAGAATTTTTCTTTTTCTAATTGGATACCTTAACGAAGGCTAAGAATAAACTTATAGCACGTTTGTACTCCAACCTATATAATTCTATATACCCTACATGTGGTAGATGGCTGTTGATCCCATAAAAGGATTCATCGACCCTTTGACAAATCTTGTTTTTAATCTACCCTCATCACCAGAAAGCTCTGAAGAATCGGTTTAGTCGTCGATAACCGGACTATGCGGCGTGTAATACTGGTTTACATAGTATCAGAAGCAATCATAGGTATTGGTCCAAAAGCTCAGGATTCGTAGCAAATTTCAGTTCGAGAAGATTTCAAATAATTTAAGAGCAATTAACAAGGAGGAAATTCAATGAAGGATAAAAGATCTGGTTGCGCCGACTTTTGCATCAATCATGTTCTTTGTATCATTTGCCACACAAAAGAGATTTCTTAAAATCAGAAGAACCTACATAAATAGCTATACGTGGTGAGGAAAAACTGAAACGTCAACCAATTCTGTGCTATCATATGGTTTTGATTACGTATCACAACTTCCTTCTAAGTGGCTAAATGATTAATGCACATAGATATGGCGACCATTCAAAACTCAAAACAAACGGCGCCTAGTTTGATGATTAGAAAGTGTCATTTTTTTTCCGCATGATAATGTCCGCCCTCGTGTTGCAAATACGCAATTAGTTGAATTTTAATGATAAACTTTATTTCACTCTGCCAATTCATCCAACCCTGTGCCAAGAGAATTCTATTTTTTAAGTGTCAAAACGACCTATTTCCAAGAAAAATGTTTTTAATCAGACTGAAGAAGCCCTCTGTAGATTTATCGATTCTTACCTTCTTCCAAAATTAACAGGTGGGGGTGGGGGTCCAAAATTAACAGGCGGGGAAACGAGTAGACTATTTTTGGCAGATTGTTTCTAAGTAGGATTTGGTATTTTTTCTACTCGATATTAGTATTATTACTAACATTATTATTTAGTTATTTATAACTAAGGTAATTTTGTGTAACGTCATATACCGGAGAAAGCCAAAATAAGGCACAGAGCAAAAGGAACTTCTCACGAGATATCTCGTCTCCCACAGCCAAGAGGCTAATATATTTTAGAGTACGCGGAGAATATCTGCCTTTCACTAGCCCTGGTTATCTTCTTTATATTGCTTCTTGGTCTGTAACTTCTCGACAAAGTTGATATATTCGTCACTATAAAAGTAGATATTTGTCGGTGTTACATAGAAACGGCGCTGTAACAAATCCTTTATATTCGTCTTTGTATCGTTTCTCTCGGAGATATTTTTAAAGGTGCGATTCGACAGTAATCATTAACTATTTCACACTCACATACGGACACACCTTAGATTTTTAAAGCTAGGCACCTGTGCCTTAAAAATCAGCAATTTATTCTTTTGATGCACTGAGCCTTCTACCGAACCTCCCACCTCTGCAGGCGCACGTAAATGGAGTCAGGGTTCTATGCCCAATTCAAATTACATGTCACTTTAACTGGAATTTTTTTTCTTTCTTACGTGTTTGTTCAAACCTTGTCGCTGGACCCTTAAGTGGTCATGTCAAAGCACTTTTTTTTTTTTTTGGTCAAAAAAGGATTAGTGTCTGTCACCGGAATGAAAGTAGTGCGAGTCATGGTTATTTATGGGGAGCAGGTGACACGGGGTCGCCCCCCCCCACACACACTTAAAAAAAAAAACAAAAAAAAAAAAACAAACATTTTCTTATTCAGAAAAGTAATTTCTTTAAGAATCTGCCGAAAACTTCCTTGAATAAGTATGCGTATGTAATATATAACACGCGAGTTATGCGGTTGGGATGCACTTAAATGACTCTAAAAGTGTTTCCTTTTACACACACTAACTATTTATGTAACCCATGATCCTACGCGCAGGATATATTAAATGAATACGCAAAACCTTTCATATTCTCTATAAATAAAACAAAAAATACTGTTATATTTGGACACTTTATACGTAGATGAAGTTAGGACTTTTAAGTCCTAATTTTAAAGTGTTCAAATATCAAACTATAGCCGTTATTAATCACTGACTTTACAGATAGTTTTGCATTAGTCATTTTCTAAATAAACTGAAAATTTTTGACGGTAAATAAAAAAAAAAAAAATTACTGAATTTTGTAATTTTTGACTGAAAATCCGTTCGATCTTTTGCTTTCAATCTACATTGTGACATTACTTGGAATAAATGTACTGTCAAGTTTGGAAGTAAAAAAAAAAAAAAAATAATAATGCAATTGTTAATGAAAGAATATCCTGGAAATGAGCTTGTGGTCTTAACCGGGGAAGAGGCATTACTTCTGACCTTAGCCAGGAAAGAATCAGACCATAAGCTTACTGCTTGAAATATCAAACATAGACATAGTCAATGGTCAGAAATTAATGCACGCTCTATTGAAATTATAGCTATATATGCTGGCGGGATAAGTTCCAGATTAGATTAAGCAAGTTAACATTTTACTTTAAAATCTCACAAAATGAATTGAGAGAAGGAAATGAAATAATAAGAGAACTGAACACTGGTTATCAGAAAGTTGTGAGAAATAGTTTTACTTGCTCTTCAAAATCGTGCCTTAATTTATAACATTCATTTCTTCCAAACCTCGTCATAAAACATCAATGAAGCCTCCTCTGCCTATCAGTTTGTATGGACTGCTTTCTTCAACGTTATATTTTAGACGTTTCCCTTAATTACGTTTTAAGTATAACAAGTAACTATTCTTGATGTGTATT